TTACACTGCTAAATTAGGGACGGCTAGCACAGATAGCCCTCGTGTAGCTTTGCGCGAAATTCAAAACAAACAAATAAGGAACCACAAACTGCGGAAATGGTAACTGAATAATTAAACAAGCGAAGGCTGTGGTCGGTAAATTTATAGGAAATTATATTTCTTTCGCTCATGAAGTTTATCAATTTCTGGATGCTGACCAATATATTACGGCAAGCTTTGACATCAAATATCTGTTAACTAATATTCCTTTAAAAGAAACCATACAAATTTGTCTTAACAAACTATTTCTTAGTAGTTAGGAGGTTTAAGGTAAGAACTAGGAATTTAGCAAGTTTGTAAGTATAGGTGTCGATATTGAAAAGGATAGGTCTGAATGGGGGAATTGTGTTTGTGAATATTGGGAAGGTCAAGAACAATTGTTAGAGAGGAGCTGAAGAACAAGATTTAGTTAAAGTGTTATCAGAGATAATTCTTTGGTTTCTTAAATTTCTAAAAACAAGTTGAAGGTTTTCCTCATGCCGAATGGTTAAGTTAGATAAGCTTGTATTTAAAAGCTTAGATTTATTGGTGTCTTGTAGGATTTATCTCATTTTGTCAATGTAATCCCGTCTGTTTATGATTACAACTCCTGTACTTTTATAACTTTTGTTATGACCAGACAAATGGCAATGGGTTCACCAGTGAGACCCTCGCTACCTAATATCTTCCTTTGACACCGTAGGCACACGTGGTTGAACAAGTGTCCTTTTGACGTTAAGCCGGGGGTGGGGGAGCTTTGTGGTGGAGGATGCCACTGGTTTGGTTTCCTTCTACCACGTCAATAGTTCAAAAATTAAGGACGGCTAAAGCTTAACCCTATAGGGATTTTTCACTTAGCCATATAGTCTACGTGCGCATAAGAAACCGTTCACGTTAAGGATTCCTTTCAAATTTGCCCCCCCCCCCACGTGGCATGTCTGCGGACTTACAATGCTAAAAACCGGATTTCGATACCCGTGAGCACAGATAGCCCGTTGTGTAGCTTTATGCTTATCTACAAATAACAACCTTTCCAATTTTCATTATTATCCTAAACATTTAATCAATTATTGTTTTCGTCAGTCTAAACCTTCTACATAAGGGCCAAGCTTTCTGAAGTGTCCATTTTTCAACTGGAAAATGTTGGAAAAAAATTTTCTCCCATAAGTATTATTTATACAGTTCTTGAAAATATAACTAGTGAAAAACCTTGTGCCCAAAATCTAGCACTCGAGATACCTTCTGTCATATTTTCTAACCTTTATGAAAGTGATTACTGTTTTTCACATGTG